ACAGGTGGTGTAGATGATCACAGGTGGTGTAGATGGTGATCACAGGTGGTGTAATGGTGATCACAGGTGGTGTAGATGGTGATCACAGGTGGTGATCACAGGTGGTGTAGATGGTGATCACAGGTGGTGTAGATAGTGATCACAGGTGGTGTAGATGGTGATCACAGGTGGTGTAGATGGTGATCACAGGTGGTGTAGATGGTGATCACAGGTGGTGTAGATGGTGATCACAGGTGGTGTAGAGGTGGTGATGACAGGTGGTGTAGATGGTGATCACAGGTGGTGTAGATGGTGATCACAGTTGGTGTAGAGGTGGTGATCACAGGTGGTGTAGAGGTGATGATCACAGGTGGTGTAGAGGTGGTGATCACAGGTGGTGTAGAGGTGATGATCACAGGTGGTGTAGAGGTGATGATCACAGGTGGTGTAGAGGTGGTGATGACAGGTGGTGTAGAGGTGGTGATGACAGGTGGTGTAGAGGTGGTGATCACAGGTGGTGTAGAGGTGGTGATGACAGGTGGTGTAGAGGTGGTGATCACAGGTGGTGTAGAGGTGGTGATGACAGGTGGTGTAGAGGTGGTGATCACAGGTGGTGTAGAGGTGATGATAGCAGAAAGTCTGTAGAGAGAGAAATGACAAAGTATTAATAGCAATAATAAAGATAATATTAAAAATAATAATTTATAATGTATGTAAAACTGCATAAGTTTGATAATCAGTATATGATGTAAACAGTGTATCAACGGGAGTTATTGTGCAGTGTAGTGTGTGTGTTGCCTGAACGTCTGCATGCTCTCCGTGTGTGTGTGTTGCCTGAACGTCTGCATGCTCTCCGTGTGTGTGTGTTGCCTGAACGTCTGCATGCTCTCCGTGTGTGTGTGTTGCCTGAACAAAGTTGTCGGTGGATGTACATTGGAAGGGAGCAGCAGCAATTTACAGCTCAATCTCGTAATCAACGTCAATATATCACTGTCCTAGATCGTTACATGTGTGCCAGTGACACTGGAATAGCAAACAATAATTATCTGACATTGTTAATGTAAGCTCGGTCTGTGTTGGTTATGTTAGGGGTTCGCAATTCAAGAGTTTGTATTACATTATATTTATTGGCATTATGATGAATTAAAATTGCTTAAATTTTGCGTGTACATGATATTTAACCAAATCTTTGCAATGTGTGTCGAGAATTTTGGTTAAAACCGTTTGTATGAAATCGACATTTGCTTTACAATTTCGAATTGTATAATAGACTTGCCTGGTGGGAAGGTAGGGGTGACACTAGTATTACTGTGGTACACCAAGTGAGGGAGAGGTGGGAATTAGTATCTAGGGAGGAAAAGGAAGACACATCACGAAGTCTCAGGGACAGACGGAGGCTGCCATGGATAGAAGTGTAGATTGACGGATAGGTGGCAGACGGAAGAATAGGGAGGGTGACGACTAGGTGAGAGGGATGAGATTTGGATTCTTCTGCCGAAGCTAGTATAATGTGCACTCAATGCCTATCATTCGGATGGAGCGCTAGAGCATATGTATACACGAAAGGCTTAGGAACATGACCCTAAAAATGGTTAACAGGAATGCGTTTGGATATTAATTTAGTGAGAAAGACGGAAGGAAAGGTAGATTGATGACTCTGAGAGGGAGAGACTGAAAGAAAGATAGACCGATAACTATGTGAGAGGTAGAGACATTAGAAAAAGTAGATTGATGATTTGTGAGAAGAGAGTAAGGGAAAGGTGTGACTGAAAATAGCTTGTAGCCCAACTTTATTTGCTTTTCTAGCTTCTTCCATTGATGCTGATGATAGTGACGATGATGGTATTGATAGTGACGATGATAGTGGTGATAGCAAGGTTGGTGGTGGTGAGGGAGAAGAGTGGGGATTATAAGTACAGGTGATAAGGTGAGTGTGTTTGTGTGTGGCGGACCTGACAGACAGGATGTGTAGTGTGTTGAGTGTCTCTGAGTTAAGAGGTCAGTTCCCATGTACCATCGTCTGTAACCACATCTGTAAGCACCACTCGCTATACCGGGAGTTATGTACCCTCCAACACTACTAGGAATCACATACTCTCCATAGCTGTACCGGAAATCATGTAATCTTAACTGTATCAAGACTCAGCAGGCGACCATCGTATGTACGGTCGGCTGTATTTTTCAGTGCATTCAAGTGTGTAGTTCAGTGTCAGTGTATTGTCGTTTGAACAACGATTTACAGTCGAGTGATTCTGGTGTTATGGACAGCAGTACAGTTGACGCTGTGCAATAAGACGCAGCGTAGTGCTAGGATATTTTAATGCGGAAACGTTTCGCCACAAATGATTTTTTCAGAACCGAAGAAAACATTCGTGGCAAAACATTTCATCAATAAAATATTCTAATATTGCGTATGCTTTATATATGTCGGTATTGTATACCATATCTTACGCACGCTGTTATCTTATCAGGGTGTAAACTGGTGTTGTGATCATGGTACCCAGCACAGTGTGAGCCCCTCCCTGTTGGTGTGGTGAGTACCTTCCTGCTGTAGTTGGAGGGTGTGGTGAGCTTCCCCCCCTGCTGTTGTTGGTATTTAGCCAGTGAGTGGCCAGCCTCCACCCACTGTGGCGGAGCAATACCTGTCTCTGTAATGGCAACAATCTTCCTCCATTGGTCACGGGATTATCTGTGCCTTGCCACAAGGTTGTTGTTGGTCGCTGCTGTCTGTTGAATTTAGATGAGGAAGAGTGGGCGGGTAAGAAGGAAAGAGAAGATAAAGTAAGGTTCGTTATAATAATTATATATAATACCAAGTTCATGGATAAGACACTATGTGCAACACTTCATTATGTTTACTACCGACAGAGGAACAGTAAACATCTCTGTGAGAGGAATTACTGTAATTCCTCTCACTAAAGTGTTTGATGTTCCTCTGTCGGAAGAAACATACCAAAGTGTTAAGTAAAGTAAGGTAACGACAGTAAACGTGATCCTGGATACATATTGTGACTTAAATAGTCCTCATACGGTTTAAGTCTCATCATTTTAGCTTGACTTTTTAATCATTAGCAGCCTACATGTAGAAGCCTCGGGGAGATTGCAGGGATCACTTGTAATATACCAGTTTTAATATTGTCACTATTGTTCTGCTGTGTTAGTAGTAGTAAATTTGCTAGGTTAGTTTTAGTTTGAGTGGTGGTGGTGGGGGGGGGATGTGTATACGAGTACGGAATCTTTTTATTACAAAAAGTGGTGAGTGAGCTTTATAATCTCAGTTCTGCTAATTTTCAAACATCTTCGGTAAGCTCGGTCGTGGCCCACACAGCTGCTACTGTTCTTGCTGTGGAGGGCCGCTGCATAAGCTTAACTTGAGAAGTCTCCAATGATATCAGACACACTAATCTTCTTGATTGCCTTTTATTGTCTTTCTTTATGCCTCCTCGCTACATTCAGCATGAAAAGATCGATGGACTGATCACATTGACTCCAGGCGGCTGAGGGACTGATTACCTCAAACACTGCTTCTGATCTTCACCATTCTTCTTTGTATAGGGCTGATGAAGTCAGTGTGGCGAAACGTTTTTTCAGTAAAGATTCCCAAGTATTGCACATGTGTCTAATTTATCAACTTGTCGGTTCTCTGAGCCATTTATCTACATTCAGCGTGTAGCACAGATAAGGGATTTTCACTCTCCCCATATTTTTCACTCTCGTATATTATGGCAGTGTGCAGATGTGGAGCAACGCTCTCAAGTACCTTCCACATATATATTATCATGAATCTCTCTCCAGAGATATATACATGATAATATGCATGTATCTGCTCCAGAGAGTACATATTCAGGAGTTCGAGGGATTTCCAGTACTTTAAATGTTTTATTGCCTCTATTCAGGCCGTACATGAACTCTGTTCCAGCTCTGATATCTCTTCTACTTTCAACGAAGCTGTCAGCACTGAACAGTACCCTAAGTGAGAGAGCACACGCGTTGTATGTCTCATTTTATTGCTAATGGCGCTGAATGAATGACTTACACACTCGAAGCGCCTTTTATGTATCATAACTACTATATTCCCGATGCCTTGGCTACTAATCCCATTGCCACATCATCGGTTTCATGGCACCCGTCACATACGTCACTCACATCAGCGTGCTGTGAATGACGCTGGTGTGAGTGACGTGAGTGATGTGTTCCAGGAGCTACAGCCACTAGGAGGATATGCACGCCGGCAGTGGAAACTCAGAGACAGAACTCCAGAATTTTCACCATATATCGTTTGAACTAAGATAACAAACAGGTAAATCCTCCGAACTTCTACTTACATGCTTTTACTTTCCTATGTGCTTAATTTTCTTCAGCTTGTAATGATTCCTCTTCAGCCTGGAGGGATGGTCTGAGACCGGGCATTGGGAATGATAACCCTTTTCTGCCCAACATTGACCCTTCACTCCCCTCTTCCCTCGTGTTTGCCGTACTCATGTTCTTAAATCAGAATAGAGGAACACCACCTCATTAGGCCTTTTGGCCCACCCGTTTGTCCAACCTATTTTTAAAACTACCCAAGCTGTTGCTCTCATTGACTGCTTTTGTAGGCTCCGATTTTCCTCGAGGAAGCTGTCCTTCTTCCAACCTTCTTTCAGCTCTACCATCCCTCTACCCTTCGAGAGAAGAACATTCTTGCTGGCGCTTACAATTACGTTCCTCTGAAACAACTTCGGGAAGGTTGGGTTACCAAGGGAATACTGGAACACTGCTCTTACAGCTCGCCACTTCTCTTTCCTGTGTCGATGGAATATGGCGGAGACAACTGCTCTTGTTCCCACATTATAAGGCATATTGAATATAGTGCACATTGCGGGTGTATCCAAGTTTGCTCAATAACAACCCCAGTTTCATCACTATTGACCATATACGTGGTAACTCGTAAGTCAAACATTCTATCGGTTTTGCAGTAATGCCGTTGTGGATAAATAATGTGTATGGTTCTATATTTACTAAAGGAATGATTTGTTTTACAGGCTAAAATTATATACATAGTGTGATTGTGACTAATAAACACTGAAACCAAGTGAGTAGCTTCGGTAATGAGCGATCGAAGTAGACACAAACTTGGTGTCTTTATCGTGCGTGTTGTGTTGATGTGAGAGTTGGAAGGAAAACTTTCTTGAAGGGGAGATCTTGTTTGTTGACGCTGGCAATGGGAAGTCGGCGAGTCACAGGGTCACTGGCGGCTCCACAACACCGCTACGCCAAGATGGATCATGAGCGACGTAACCACGAGCTTCTTAAACGTCTGGCTTCAGACATCCCGGCAGCCAAGACAGCGAGGGGTGTGCTGGGGGTCCCTACGTCCAGGTCCTTAACGGAACAGGAGAAGGGACTCCAGGGAGAAGCAACACATGTCCAAGACCAGCTGGGCAAGACACGGCACTGGAAGAAAAGGAACATAGACAGTTCTTTCAAGTCGTTTCAGAGACAAACGTCCAGCTCGGCGATGAAGGCGACTAATGGCGTCAGAGACATCTTAGAGGATAAGATGGGCCGAGAACTGGAGCTCAACACCGTCAAAAGTAAGAGAGATCGTAGCCCTGCCAAGAGTATCAGAAAGCGAGAGTCTAGTCCGACGAGGTCTATGAATGCAGGAAATAAGAACGACAAAAGAAGCAGCCAGTATGCCTCTGAGAACACAAGACGGCCAGATGTCTTCGAGCGCCTCTCCAAGATAGATTCGAACAAAAGCTCGAGTATTGTGAAGAGCAGCAGGAGCCTCCAAGAGAAGAATAGCTGCCGTGATAAGCATCAGAGCGGTCGTAAACCAAGTGTCAGCAGCGTCTCCATAAAAACCATTCACAGACGGGAGGGAGACAGGATCCCGCTGACGGAGGACGAGACCTGTAGGAGAGAGATCAACGTCTGCAGCTCCAGCATGGATGGAGGCCAGAGGGATGACTACGGTGAAGACGAAGACTCTTCCACAGAGAAACAAGAGCAAGACAACATCCCAGAGACTGTGGATAAGGACCGCGACGACCCTCCTGTCAGTATTCATGAGAGATTAGCAACGATGCCGCCTCTTACGAAGTCATCGTCAGGTTCTGAGGCCTTATACATACCAGGGGAGTGTGTTGGTGAAAACACTTGTCATCCAAGAGTCTCACCACAGCAGAGCCAATCTAAATCCCTTAAACAGGACTCTCTACTTTCTCAGGCTAAGATGGATGGTCATGGTACAGAGAGCAACACCTACAAGTCATCTGAGCACCTTGCCTCACATGCTGATGAAAAGTACGACACGAATAATTCTTATAACAAGAGAGAGCATAATTTGCATCCTCAGACGTCAAACAAATGTTCTGGGAAAGATGGAGCTAGGAAACAATCCTCCAGAGAAGAGATCATTTCACCGCGAAAAGGTGCTCGCCATGAATGGTCCACTCAGCCAAGTAACACTCGTATCACTCCCAAGACTAGAGATGAAAGGGTAACCGCCGCTGTACCCTCGACTTCAGAAATCATACAGAAGATGAGGGAGAGAGTGAGTGATGGCAGAGTACAGGATAGAGGAGAGGCAGTCGTGGACGACGATAAGGATGTATGTGAGGCAGATATGGGTGAGGAAGAGCGTGAGTTCTACAAGATCAGCGTGCAGACTCGCCTAGTGAGCTACAACAACAGCACACTCGTCATCAAGAACACATCCAAGAGTGAGTCTGTGAGTGAGAATGCAGCGAGCAGTGACACCGAGACTGACTCACTCTGCGACCCCACTACCCCTACACCAACCCCCACCACCACAGTCCCCACCTTGCAATCCTCATCAGCTGGGCCAGCAGCTGTGGCTGACATGGTAGATGATGCCGCTGCCCACGCCCTTTTGCACCTGACGGAGGCCCACCAAGACGAGCCTGTTTCTGAAGACCTAACTAGGACACGCAGTGTTAGGAGAAAGCTGGCCCACTTCATGAGCAAGGGAAAGAGCCTCTTATATGAGGTGTACAGCGCCACACAAACTAAACTGGAGCAGTACACGAGAGCAGAGTCACTAAGCAGCAGCACCTCGTCTTTGGATACTACAGAACACCAACTGGACTCCGACAGCGGTTACTACAGCATCCCTCCGCCTCTAGTGGAGACCAACCCCATCTGGGTGGAAGATCACGTCCATCGGGCGACCTCGTGGCTGCGAGAACACGGGTGTTACCCTCTCATTCCCCGGGCAGAACCTGACGACGCTCACTGGAGTAGCACCCAGGAGAGTTTCCTCCCTCCACGCCCAGGCATGATGCCTTCCACTGCTGGGGAGACTCATCTGGGAGGTAGCCAGCAGGTGCATCAAAGTCAGGGGATGGGTGACGAGACTGACCTGAGTGAAGAAGATAGTGAACTTGCTGGCATCAAAGTGGATGAACAGTGGATCAAAAAGAACATTTTGTGTACATGTAAATGCAGATATAGGGCAATAGATGATCAGCAAATAATATATAATAGTCAACCGGATAACTCCAATACTCAGATTACCAGTGCCACAAATACCACTGCAGGGGACACGAAAACACAGCTGCAGTCCGCTACTGAAACCACTTTGGAATGTATCAGTAATATCTTGGAGACCTCTCCGGGAGAAGTGGGTTCTGAGGAATGTGGTTTGTCTGTGAGAGCAACCAGCTCGAGGGAGAGTCTCTCAATAGCGGGAGAAAGTGTGTGTGGGGAGAGTGTGATGGAGGACGAGATGTGCTACTGCTCTTGCCATGAGGAGGAGGAGGGTCATCTTCCTCCACACCTGCCACAAGAGGTACAGGAGCTGCTGGATGCTGACCACGCCAGGTATGTGTTGCTCATCTTACACATGAGTTGTAAAATATTGCCCTGACAACCTCGACTATAATGAACCATCTTGATCATTGGTTCATTATAGTTCATTATCATTTGTTAACCTGAAAATATATGATTGCAAGCACAGTTAACAGATTGGTGGTCAGTATCATTGTGACGTCATGTCCAGCAATGGTACTGGGCACATGTCTTCCATTCTAGTATTTTTTGTGTCATATAATTAACTAATAACACTGACCCGTTGTACTAATAGGAGATTTTGTTTGGAAACAGGTTGGTATGTCGTGAATATAAATTTTCCCATATTGACTTCAAATAACTTTAACTGTCTTTTTTTTACCTCCATCTGGAGAATTTATCTTTCAAGGCTATATATACACCATGAGGTGTATGTCTCTCTGTGTATACATGCTGAAAGCTTATTCCCTATTTTAGGTATTAAAATATTCTTGATTAATAGTGAACAGGTTACATGCAGCCTTTTTTTTAAGGCTTTCGGTTCGTGTAGTTAGTAGATTTTAATCTTCCCTAATTTTATATTTTCATCAGTTGAGATATGTATATGAGCAGATTGATAGAGAATGCCTCTAATCTCCAAGTTTGTAAGACCTTTATAAATTCCCTTTTCTAGACAGATCCTATGGTGCTTCCTTTTATCCTGAAATGTTGGCAGCAACACGAAGATTTGTTGACAACTTTCGTTAGTGAAAACTTGAGGAAGCAGATATTGTTTTCCTAGTCCATGTAGCCTGGTAGTTGGACTGAACTGGGCACTGAACAGTAGTATTAACACTACTTACCTGGAGTCTCTTCATATCTGAAAAGAGTTTGTTTAATTCATGTTAAGCGCTAAACCCATGTGGATCAGTCAGTGCAATACTTGAGGGAAGGGGGGCTTGATCCTCCGTCTGCTGAGCGGGAGATAGACGCGCTTCCTGATTATTATAATTTAAGTTATCCGGCAATATTCTTATTACACTTCTAGGTATTCCCCTCCCCAGTCTGCCAACGTGCCTCCTTTTGTTAGGTAAATGAACACAAGAACTAACGAGACATTTATTACGGCTACGTTTCACTCTCCAAAATAAATGTCCCATTAGTTGCTCTTGTGACCATTTACCATACGTATTGTTGGTAATTTTCCAAATAATTATATATGAACCTTCCTGTGCACGACCCCCTCGTTGCATCTTCTACTCACTTACCCTAACACCTAGCTCTGTAAACCTATTTCTTACCCCCTTACTCCACACAGTTTACCTGATCCCGCACCTAACATCCCCCATCACCTGCTTCTATCACATCTCAAGCTCAAAATAAATTTAATTTTAAACTTGAATAACTTATAAGTTTTGAGAAATGACCTCATTAGCATGGTCCAACCCAGGCTAATTTGTTGACACGATAGATATGGAACTTTTAATGAATTAATTAGAATTTGCTGTGATTAATTAAGACTTGTTCTCAGTATTTTAGTACAAGCAGTATCTCTCTATTAATACTGAAATAATTAAATAAATCGTATTACAGTGTTTTAAATATCCAGTAACTAAACTTTTTAATAAAACAAATACTTCACAAATTGCAAAGTTTTACTGATTAATAATTTGCTTGAAGGTTTCTTTAAACCTTCCTGTAATAAGCTAAGATAAGAACACTTGCAATAAATTAAGGAAGCTTGTAGATAATAAAATCCAACCAAGTTAGAGTTTCGAGGAGAAAATAAATTGATTATTTAAGGATTTTGTTTTCAGATCTATAAAAAAAACAATCAGAAAAGTGGGCCGCTGTAAACAAGTTTTGAGTTAGACTTGCCATGAAAAATTGATAAACATGATAGGTATTTCACTTTTAAAAAGAGCTAGTCATCATGGCCAGGGTCTTGAACACTCTATATTATAGCTCTGTCATTGCTCTACTAGTGTTTCAAATATTCTGTATCATAGTTCTGTCTTTCCTCTAGAAGTGTGTTACTCGGTTTTGCGCTTTCTTTGATAATAATAGTAATAATAGTGTCGTACACACTATATCCTAGCTGTGTCTTTGCTCTAGTAGTGTCGTACACATTGCTGGACGGTAGACTCATCACTAACCTACAACGCGACACTCACAGGATATCCACATATATTTCCTGGAAAGCTCCGTGTTATTTAAACTCTGCACCTTCCCACTGTATAGTATTTACATATTTTGTCCTTGTGATCACTCTGGCTGTGACAATTTTTTTTGTGTTGTCTGAATTTTTTATTTTCTCTATTCTTAGATTCTGTTTCCTTGTTTTGTGTTTTTGTCTTCCATATTTCTTTTTGCATGGTTAAATTTTAATAGTATAATTTAATCTGGTATTAGATATGCTTTCTACGTTTTTATTATCGCTGGGCTCTAATATATATATATATATATATATTATATATATATATATATATATATATATATATATATATATATATATATATATATATATAAATATATATATAATGTGCCGAATATGTAAAACTGGTCAATTAGCAAGAAGTCATTTAAAATTAAGTCCTTTCTGAAATTTTCTCATATACGTTTAAAGATATATTTTTTCATTAATGTAAATGTAAAAATTTTTAATTTTGCACCAAAAGAATCTTAGAAAACTTACCTAACCTTATTATAACAAGAACAATTTATTTTAGCCTAACCCAACTATATATATTTTAGATTTGTTTACAATAATTTAATACTAAATAAACACATTGAAATATATTTTTTTCGTTAGGTTCAGAATGATTTTGGCGAAATTATTGCATACACAAATTTTCACTTGTCCTATATGGCAAGATGAGCGTTGCTATTTAAGCCAAGATCGCAAGTTCTGCCTATTCGGCACGACATATATATATATATATATTATATATATATATATATATATATATATATATATATATATATATATATATATATATATATATATATATATATGTGTGTGTGTGTGTATTCGCACATGTGTCCTTTTACTTAACATATTGTCGGTAAAGTCTACAAACATTTTTACAACTAGTCAGATATATATATAAATACGAATAATTGGGCATGAGTAGGACTAGCCACGCATGAAGAGGCCACTAGGCCTACCTCGGTGCCTTTTTGTTCAGTATGGTTTAAGTATTTTTTTCCATCTTGAATTTTGTCTTTGTGGTGTCCTTGTGTGTCCTTGATGTTTGTGGTGCCTTGAGTTCACGTTTTCGTGCTGTCTTTTCTTGCATATAATGCCTGGGTGTCTTTTAGTTCCCGTCATTAAGTCTTAAGCGCCCTCATTTGCATACTTTAATGAAGGTTATTTATAGAGGGATTGGGAGGGAGGAGTGGGGGATGAGGTGGAGTTCGTGTGGGATGGAGTAGAGTGAGTGGGAAGTGATGAAACGAAGGGTGAAAGAAAATAATTGAAAGAGGATACAACGGAATAAACAAAGGGATGAAGGAAGGAGCGGTAACTAGAAAGCCTCCGCTTTAAAACAATAATCACCCACTAATTAAACATCATAAGAGATATAACGAGGATAAAGTGGACACTTTATGTAGGTAGACGACAGAGGTTGTCGTAGAGGCTGAGTAAACTTGACTCCAACATTATGTACACTTGACACCAGGTTTGTGACTCAGTGACTGAGACAAGTACAGTGTTATGGAATGGAACAGTGGCGGTCTCGGTTGGACGTAACACAAGCATATTGAGGATAGGACGGTCACAAGGACACTCACATTGAGAATAGAAGTCACATTGAGGATAGGACGGTCACTAGGACAATCACATTGAGGGTACGACAGTCATATTGAGGATAGAAGTCACTAGGTCATTCACATTGAGGATAGGACAGTCATTCATGGCTTGCCAGGCATCCTGCTCCTCTTTGTAGCTTGTGTTGTGTCGCTGTGATACACAATCTAAGAGCATCCGCTAGGCTTAGTGTGTGCAAGTTTCAGCATGGATTTTATATTCACCGGGATGTCTGTACAGATCCAGGTGACATTTTTACTGGAAACTGTGATTAGCCAATGTCGTTGTTATGATGGGTAGTGCTGTTTCATATACTTTTCATGAGTTTTAAGAGTTTTTCTACTTCCGGAGCTCGGCCTTGAGCCAGTTGCAATTGCTTTGTTCATCATCAATTTCATCATAAATGATAAGGATATTTCTCATTTCGTCTAAATTTCCTAACACAGTGACACGCGACGAATTTTGTATATGGATTGTGGAATGTGAAATATTGACTTTAAATAGTTTTGCTTGTTCTCTGGTTAATATGTCAAAGAAGCAAGGTGATTTTCATAGTGTAAATTCGGTGATTAAAATAACATATCCGTCCCGTGGAAGACAGCGGCTAGATTGTGTACTTCATATCCATCCTGTGAAAGTTGGTGGCTAGTTTGTGTACATATCCATCCTGTGAAAGCTGGTGGCTAGTTTGTGTACATATCCATCCTGTGGAAGCTGGTGGCTAGTTTGTGTACATATCCATCCTGTGGAAGCTGGTGGCTAGTTTGTGTACATATCCATCCTGTGGAAGCTGGTGGCTAGTTTGTGTACATATCCATCCTGTGGAAGCTGGTGGCTAGTTTGTGTACATATCCATCCTGTGGAAGCTGGTGGCTAGTTTGTGTACATATCCATCCTGTGGAAGCTGGTGGCTAGTTTGTGTACATATCCATCCTGTGGAAGCTGGTGGCTAGTTTGTGTACATATCCATCCTGTGGAAGCTAGTTTGTGTACATATCCATCCTGTGGAAGCTGGTGGCTAGTTTGTGTACATATCCATCCTGTGGAAGCTAGTTTGTGTACATATCCATCCTGTGGAAGCTGGTGGCTAGTTTGTGTACATATCTATCCTGTGGATGACAGTGCAAGAGCGTATGAATACACAAAAGGCCTAGAAACTAGGCCCCAAAAGGGTTTACAGAAGTACATCTGGATTTATATATACTGTATGCATTTAAAGAGTTAAATAACTAAACGGTTCTAG